TTGTTAGGGAGCTCGATTTTGTCAGGGAGCTCGATTTTGTCAGGGAGCTCGATTTTGTTAGGGAGATCGATTTTGACAGCATTTCCAGCAGAAAAATTGCAGCATCTTTTGCAGCAGCTAAGTCCCACTTTTGATTCGTTAACCATCCGAAACTCACCCGAGGCCCTCGGGACCTCAACCCAATGCACCAACAAGTCCTAAAATATTATACGAACTTATTTGAAACCTCAAATCACATCAAACAATGCTAAAATAACGAATCACACATAGATTCAAGCCTAATGAACTTTGAAACTTTCAATTTCTACAAACAACACCGGAACCTATCAAATCAAGTCCGATTGATCTCAAATTTTGTACGCAAGTCATAAATGACATAACGGAGCTATGAAAATTTTCAAAATCGAATTTCGACCCCGATATCAAAAAGTCAACCCCTCGGTTAAACTTTCCAAAAATTCAACTTTCGGCATTTCAAGCCTAATTTCACTACGGATTTTCAAATAAAATTTCGATCATGCTCCTATGTCCAAAATCACCATACGGAGCTATTGGAATCATCAAAATTCTATTCCGGGGTCATTTGCATATAATTCGATATCCGGTCACTATTTGAACTTAAACTTTAAATTTTTTATCAAAATTCCATATCTCGGGCTAGGGACCTCGGAATTTGATTTCGGGTATACGCCCAAGTCTCAATTCATGATACGGACCGAACGAAACTGTTAAAATACTGATCCTAGTCCGTTTGCTCAAAATATTGACCAAAGTCAACTCAGTTGTATTTTAAACATCTAATTCACATTTTAATCAATTTTTCACCTGAAAACTTTCCGAAAAATTTTACGGACTGTGCACGCAAGTCGAGGAATGATAAAATAGTACTTTTTGAGGTCTTAGAACATATAATTAATTATTAAATTTAAAGATAACATTTTGGGTCATCACAGTTAGTTTCTATACCAAAATGTTAGCATGAATACTGTTAGTTTTTTTTTACCAATATTTGTATGTATACTATTAGTTTTAATGGAATACTAGTATGTGCATATACAATTAATTTTTGATTGGATGTAGATATGATGTTAGTTTGATTAGAATACTGGTATACATACTGTAATAATATTTTTTATTGGAATATTTATAAATTTATTGTTAGTTTGATTAGAATATTATTCTATAATTTGGAATATAATTAATTTATGATTGGAATATCGGTAGATATGTCAATACTTCTATTGGAATACGGGTAGATTTATTGGAATACAAATATATTTTAGTAACTTTTTGTTAAAAATCCCATCCAAAACTTAGGAATATGCTCTTGGAATGGAGAACTCAATTACTGAAAAATGAAAAACTTGCCAATTGAAAAGGAGATTTATAGGGATAAGAAATGATTGTAATTAATAAGTTTTCCTTTTTTAATATGCGTGATCTTAGGAATACTTCTATTTTTCAGGCTTCGTGTTTTCAGCCTTGCAAATGGGTTGGTACTTAGTATGTTATAGATATAGAGTGTAAAGTTTTTTGGACACCAGGAATAATTTTAATTTTCGGGGTAAATCAAAAAAGTGAGTATTATAAATGGTTATATCATGTAACTTTCCCTTTATTTTTTGAGATAACTATGGTATACCTTGATTAATTTAATCTGCTACGAGAGGAAGATAAATTGCTACGTGCAGATAAGGAAAAAATATTCAGCAATTTCATCTGTTTCATATAGGAAGATGAATATGCTAGAAACTGAAGTAATACTTCCTATGGTAAACAAGGGAATAAATGTAGACGAAATGTAAAGTCTAAGTTGCCTTTTTGTATTTTCCTTATTTACAAGTTGAGTATTGAAAACGTAAAAATAATAAAACTTATCTGTAACATGCTTTAGAGCTACCTGATCGTGTAGAAAAAGTTTCCATCGACGATGAATATTAGTTAAAATCATTGGCTAAACATATGCATATATGATCTTTAATATTCATTATATAATGGTAGGCAATCCATGTTGCTAAAAAATAATATACTATTTCAAAAGATATTTTATAATTGTAAATCAATTAGGTGGCTTCTTGCATGAAGCCTAAAGGCCAAATGTTTCACACCTTAAACAAGTGGACAATTTCTTCCATGCAAAAATTACACTTGGCGTGTCAAGAACTTAAAAAACTCTTATAAATAGTAATATTTCAATCCAATCAAAAAACCAAGAAAAGCATCATTAGTTATCATTAGCCAAAGTTACTTTTCTTTTGTTTTATCTTTCACTTCGTTTACTGCTCCCTCATTTCTTCTACTGATTCTTATCTATACATTCTCTGGTTACATGTTTTGCTGGATTTATTATTAAAATTTGTTATTTCTATATCCTCTTTGAGGTGAGCTTGTTTAATTCTAAAAAAAATATTTTACATTACTAAAATAATTTCCTAGGATAGTGTCCAGCACGATTAAAACCATTTAGAGAGAGAGAGAAAAGAGTGAAACAAACAATGGCTACTTCTTCTATCAGCTATTGTCACTTGGGAAATATTCAATCAATTTTTTGGGGTTGTTCTCATAATTTTCTCCCCAACAATAACTCAAAACTCACAGTAAAACATACATATTCATATGTCAGTTCTATAGGAAGAGAGAAAAATATGAGTCATTTGAAGATGAGTGCAGCAATGGTTGATAATACTGAACGTCCATTGGCAAATTTTCACTCAAGTGTCTGGGAAGACTATTTCCTCTCCTACACTCCTCAACTCACAGTATGACCCTACATACTCATATATATGAATGCTTTATAATCTTTGTCTGCTTAAACTATTATTATTTTCATTTATTTAATTATATTCTCAACGTGCCCCTCACATATAATATTTATATGGATTATTGAAATCTATTGACTGCAGTTGGAACAACAAAGGAAGCATATAGCTTCATTCATAGAATGCTCCATGAAAGAACTTGGAGGTTCAAAGCAAGATGCATATGCTGAGGCTCAGAAGAAAATCACTAATGCATGGAAAGACATGAACAAGGACTTCCTATGTTCTACTCATGACAAAGTACCAACGTTTGTCCTCGAACTAGTTATAAATATTGCGCGCCTAGCGAATTTAAAGCGATTTTGCTGTTGTTTGTTGAACCTGTCAATGTTTGAGGATAATTTGGAGCATAATCTAGTTTGAGAACATAGGAATAACAGAAGTACTTCTATTACTGATTAATGGTGAAAAATGATGTATTGATTTGTATACTATTAATGTTTGAGAATAAATTATCTTCATCTTTATTAAGGAACACTACTAGAAAAGGGCTAATTTTCGACCATCAAAACGTTCACAAATCTAATAGATGCATAGTGTATGAGCATCTATTATATTATACAAAACTTCAAATATTATCTGAAATAAAATAGACAGAATGTAAATATAAGAAGAGACACTGGTAGCTGCAAAACGGCTCAGAAAGACAGCTCACCACTATGCCTCTGGATAACGTTGGTGTAAGACGATAAGTCTCCCACTAGTACTTGCCTCAGGTCCTGCACAAAAATAAAAGTGCAGCAAGTATACTTTGAGTACATAAACAACGTGTACCCAGTAAGTATCAAGCCTAATCTCGAAGTGGTAGAGACAAAATGGCCGACTTTGACACTCACTATGGGTCAATAATAATAATTGAAATAAAACTAGAATATCTAAATTAGCATGATTCACAGAATATAAAAATACTTTATTTAACCAGCAGAAATAATTAAATTCCTTCGATTCCAATAAATTTCTAATTTGTCAATTAGTCTTATTTACAGGATTACCAATAATTCCTTAACAAGCAGGGATAATAATTCTTTAAATTCTAAAGATTTTCAATTTATCAATTAGTTTCACAAGCTACAATAAACTATCAAAGTATCGTGTAATTATTATTATTATTAAGCACGATTTCTGCCGAGGTCGTACGGCCCGATCCATAGATGCATCTATCCTGCCGAGGCGTTCAGCCTACTCTACAAGAAAGGATGACATTTTCTTATGTACCTCCGGAAGGAGAGTACATTTATTATAAGGTAAATTCGGGAGGGANGAATACACTTTACACAAGTAATTCATGCTTTGAGTCCTAACTACCCGGACTTTAGCATTAATAGCAGCTAAGCACGGACTCTCGTCACCTCGTGCATACGTAGCCCCCGCAATTAGCAATAATTATTTAATTTAATCACCTATGGGGTAATTTTCCTCTCACAAGATTAGACAAGAGACTTACCTCAATTTGCTCCAATTTAATCCACTAGAAGGTCTTTTCCACGATTATCCAACTCTGTCTAGCTCGAATCTAGCCAAAATAATTCGATACAATCACTAAAAATTATAGGAAACAATTCTATAAGAAAATACTATATTTTTCAATAAAAGTACGAAATTAATTTAAAAATCGTTCGTGGGGCCCACGTCTCGGAATCTGACGAAAGTTACGAAATATGAACGCTGACTCAACCACGAGTCTACCCATACCAAAATTACTAAATTCCGATAACAATTCGGCCCTCAAATCCTCAAATCTATCCAAGAGGGTTTTCAAACTTTTCCAATTCAATTCACCAATTAAATGATAACAACAGTGATGGATTCAGGTAATATAACCAATATTGAGTTAAGAACACTTACCCCGTTGTTTTCTCTCAAAATCTCTCAAATATCGTCCAAATCCGAGCTCAAAATCGTTAAAAATAGAAAATGGGTCGAAGTCCCATTTTTAGAACTTAAGCTCTATGCCCAGTGACTTCTTCTACGCAATCGCGAAATTCCTCACGCGATCGCGTAGTACAAATTTTACTGCCCAGAAAATAACCCTACGTGATCGCATAAAGTCCCACGCGATCGCAAAGCACTGACTCCCAAACCTACGCGATTGCGAAGCATTAAGCGCGTGGTCCAGCTCCTCCCTAGTTTTCCCTACGCGATCGCAAACAATGACACGCGATCGTGATGCACAGACTGGACTAACCTATGCGATCGCGGGCGTGCCCACGCGATCGCATAGAACGAATTTCTAGCTGCCCAAAATAAGCCTACGCGATCGCAACCCCATTCACGCGATCGCGTAGAAAAAATTCACCTCTACCCAAATTACCTTACGCGATCGCAGACCAACTTACGCGATCGCGTATAAGGAAATCAAAAGAAAAATACCAGCAATTATCAGTAGGTTCCCAAAGGCAAAAAATGATCTGTTAGTCATCTGAAACTCACCCGAGCCCCTCGGGACCTTAACCAAATATACCAACAAGTCCCAATACATCATACGAACTTAGCCGATCCTTCAAATAACACCAAACAACGCTAAAATTAATAATAATCCTCCAATTCAAACTTAATAAAACTTAAGATTTCCACCTTATACATTCGGTGTCATAACCTATCAAATCAAGTCCGATTGACCTCAAGTTTTGTACACAAGTCATAAATGACATAACCGAGCTATGAAAATTTACGAAACTTGATTCCGACCCCGATATTAAAAAGTCAACTCCCCGGTCAAACTTCCAAACTTAAATTCTTGTTTCAGCCATTTCAAGCCTAATTTAACTACAAACTTTAAAATAAAATTCCGAACACGCTCCTAAGTCCAAAATCACCATACTGAGCCATTGGAACCATCAAATTCCGATTCCGGGGTCGTTTTCTCAAAATGTTGATCGAAGTCAAACTTGGCCTTTTAAGGCTAACTTAAGGAACCAAGTGTTCCGATTTCAACCCAAACACTTTCAAATCCCGAACCAACCATCCCCGCAAGTCATAAATCATTAAAAGCACATAGGGGGAGTTTTATTTTAGGGAACGGAGTTCTAAAAATTAAAATGACCGGTTGGGTCATTACATTCTCCACCTCTTAAATAAACGTTCGTCCTTGAACGGGTTTAGAATTATACCTGAAGTGCTGAATAAGTGTGGATATCTGCTCCGCATGTTTTCCTCGGCCTCCCAAGTCGCTTCCTCGACTGGTTGGCCCCTCCACTGGACTTTTACTGCAGAAATCCTCTTGGACCTCAACTGGTGAATCTATTTGTCACGACCCAAACTAACCCCTGTCATGATGGTGCATATCGTGGAACTAGGCAAGCCGACTCATTTCAAAATGAACCGATATTTTCATTTCAAGGATAATTTCAAGGCTATTTAGCGTAAAAACGTTCGTAAAGGAGTTCAAATAAAAAAAACAAAAATGCAGAAAAGAAAAGCCCGACATCGGGGTGTCACTAGTCATGAGCATCTACTACCATTTGTCTGACAATATCAAGTCTAACATAGTCTGGAACATAGCTAAATACAACTAAAGGAAGATAAGAGGGAGAAAAGCAGGGTTGTGATCGTCAGGCAACTACCTTGCTATCCCCGAAAATATCTGCAATCGGAATAGTCAACAGCCACTACCGTGTCCAAATACGCCTGAATCTGCACACAAGGTGCAGGGAGTAACATGAGTACGCCAACTAAGTAAGTAACAACAATAAATAGATACTGAGCAGTAGTGACGAGCAATAAAGCATATAAAGTTCATATCATGAAATTTCAGTAAAATACAACATGCAAAATCAGTGTTTGAATCAAATCATCTTGTTTAAACCTAGTGCCAGTAAAATCATTTAAATATATTTTTTAACAGTTTTCAAATAGAGGTTCAATGCAAAGGTGAGCAAAAATGATGAAATCATAAACAGTCCCCCGGGAAAAACATCACTCATATACAGCCCCTCGGGAAAACCTCACAGTCACTCATGCCTCTCGGGCATACCTCACAGTCACTCATGCCACTGGAGCATACCTCATAATCACTCATGCCACTCGGGCATACCTCACAATCACTCATGCCTCCCAGTCACTCAGCACTTGCACTCAGTAGGTGCATGCGCTCACTGTGGGTGTGTATAGACTCCGGAGGGGTTCCTTCAGCCCAAGCGCTATATCAAGCCAAATAATGGCATAAATCACTCAGGCCCTCGGCCTATATCAAACATGTTGCGGCGTGCAGCCCGATCCCATAAATATCCTTACAAATCAGGCCCTCGGCCTCACTCAGTCATAAACCTCTCAAGCCACTCGAGCATTTCAGTAAAAACAGGGTACTCAGCCCAAAACAACATTTATATGCATCAAAATAGAGTAAGGAAAGCTGAGTTATGCAGTAAACATGTATAACCATGACTGAGTATAAACTTTCAATCGAAAATAGTGAAGGGATAGTAATAAAAGGCCC